CTAGCTCTTCCATTTGCTTAGCAGTTGCATTCTTAGAAGCTGCTGCTGCTATATAGAGCTCTAACCATTCGCTGATTCGTTCTAAGACTTGCGGTATTTCTAGCCGCGGTTGCTTCAGCCTCTTGAGCTTCATCTTCGCCTACTTCTTCTATAGGGCGTGTATTTTTTTGTATTTTGATTACAAATTGAATTTTATACGTTCGCGTTCGCACTGCATTGATTTATGATATTTTATTCTGCCCGCTCAGCTACAGTTCGTTTTTTTTAATTAAGTCCAAGTCCAAGTGTTAGCCAGCAGCATTTGATTTATGCTCTGCTCTACCTCTCCGTCTCTCTTACTGAATACTATATATATATATGAGTTGTATATATAATTAAAGTTGAAAGTAAAGAAACTCTTTCGATCGGTGCTTGGTTAGAAACGTCGCGCATAGCTTTCCCTTGAGTTTGTCTTGATCTTGTCTTTGTGCCTTGGACATTGCGTGCGATTGCATTACGAGTGAAATTTTCTGCCCTTTCTCGCTTGGCGATCTTGAGACATCGATAACCTTTTTGCTTAGGTTTTTTTTTATTTTGGCCATCTAAAACTGACATCATCAGAGCGCAGCAGTTCGCAATTTAATGCCGTGCCACAAAGTCTTTTTTTAATACACCCTGCAACTGATGGAAAATGGGTGTTTAGGGTATAATGGGCTTGGTCTAAGTGTATGTAACAGGCAGAGGGAGGCTTGGAGATCCTCATTAAGTCGATTGTCAACTGGATCAACTATCAACTTCTTTACAAATTGCTTACCAATCCAACTAGAAAAGCCTCAAGAAATCTAATTGCAAAAGGATGCGTTAGGCACTTAAAGATATATTCTAGTCGGATACTCCCGATAATAGCACTCGTGCTTGATTTTCCTTTTGCTTTGGTTTCTGATTACATAAATTTGGCGCCTGACCGCGAGTCAAAGAAGAAGGGGGATCAGGCCGAGGGGGAGGCAGCGCGAGCTCCACATTTGCATCTCCGAAGCGCAGGCAAATGTGTGTCAGGCATTGGGGCGCGGCATATGTAATTACAATAACTGCAACTTGCAACTTGGCAACTTGCAGCTTGCATCAATGCAAATAACGCAGAATGTGTGTTTGAAGCAGTGCAGGAGAAGGAAGAGGAGGAGGAGGTGTATAGGGGAGAGTAGATTGGGAAGGAGAGAAACCTGTCGCTTTTAATTAAAGGCCGCCCGACTCTAAGTAACTTTTCATGTATCAACTTATGCGCACAATGTTAAGCGACAGCGGCAACAACAACAGCAATCAGAAATAACTTTTGCATTTAGTCATAACTGCATTTAAAATATTTTCGATTGTTGCTGGCCCCACACACCAAACTCGTATTTTGATTTGATTTGGATTGTTTGTAACTCCCCCATATGCAAAAAAAACCACAACAACAGCAAAATAATAAATAAATAAAGAGAGAAAAATGTATAAATGGGATAGACTCTGAATGCAATTGTATCCCAGCCCAGGTACGACCCACTTCTGTCATGTTGCACGATAAATAGTTGGAGATTTATTGTTTGGCACAGTGGCAGGCATAATTACAATTTATGCCCCATTCGGGGGCAGCACAAACAGCCAACAGCCAACAGCCAACAACCAGCTACAACAGCTTGTGCAATCTACGAGCCAAGTTCAAAGCGTGTTTTGAGGAAGCTGTCGCCAAAGACAAAGACCGTACAAATTGCAAAAGGAAGCTGTCCATCGTCTTTTGTCTTTCAGTCAGAGTTTGTCTACCTGCCACACAATTGCCATTATTCTTGCGACTATTGAAAGTGAATATTTACAAATAACAGCAGCATTGATCAAAGGGAAGGAAACGTATGTCGAAATATAAATACCCTAGCGTGCCTGGTACTCAGGCTTGATTTTTGATATGCTTATTGAAGTAGCAGCAAAGCTTTAATTGTCTTCTGCAGCTCTTCATGTAAGCTAGACGAAACTTAAACTAACTTTAATTAACTTTGATTAAATTATACATGAGCTTTCAAGAGCTTACTTTCAGTAAGACACAGAAAAGGCTTTTACCTGATACTTAATGAGCCTAATGAGCTTGAGCTTTCTTATAATTTCAAGAGAGGTAAGTACTTAGCTATATTAATAAGCTTTCAAGAGGATAGACATAAGCTTTTATTAAACAGCTTTTGATTAATATGGAAAAGGACAGCTTTGAGTTTGACTTTATTTTCAGGAGATTTGAAAAGCTTTTAAAAGCGTGTATGAGCTAAAAATGAGCTTCGAGCTAGCTTTAAGAAGCTTTTATTATTAGGAAACAGCTTTTCAAAAACCAATGTCTTCCCTTATAACTTGCCAGATGATTGTAAATTGAACTGAAGTGCAGCATACAGAAGTTGCTAGAAAAAAGTTTTAGCATTTCTAGGACGGCAGTTGAATCCCTCGTTGTTTGACCTACTCTAAGAGTCTATGTCTAACTCTAGGAAATGTATGCCAGATGTGAGTAAATATGTCACTAACATCCTTCTGTTAAGCGCCACTGGAACGCTTCCAGGTCTGTCTGGCAAGCTGATTGTGCCCTCAGTTAGGGTACACTCGACTTTCGCATACCGTTTCAGGGGGGCCATTACATCATGTGAAGTTGAAGCACTTGGCTGCTATTGTTGAGCACATAATTAAGCGCCGCTTAGCTTATCTAATTAACGTCAGGCAAACAAGAGAGACAAGCGGGAGACCCCGAAAAAGACGAAGTCTAATGAATCGTTGGCCAGCTGCGTGCGCTGATTTATATGCGAGTTTTTCAAGAGTTTGTTGCTGTTGTTGCTGTGTGAATTGTGTTTTGTCACCGTGTGCACAAGTCCACAATTCGATCGCGCGCACACTTAAGAGCAACGTTTACGCAGGCTCTCCAATGGAGCACTCATATTCGCCAGCCAGCCAGTCAAAGTCAAATCGAACTCCAAGTCGCAAACGCAGCCGGAGCCGGAGCGGAACATGTGACATAAGTCGCCGGGTGTATGGCAATGATATATGAATATGACAAAGCGACATGGACAACTTTATTGGCTCATGAAAAGCGCTGTCACTGCCTCTGACTGACATAAATCACGAGCACCAAAAAAAAAAACCATTCGACGAACCCAACGAGCTGCAAACGCAGCCAACTTCAAGCGAGCGATCGCAGAAAAAGATCTCAGCGAGGAGAAAAAGAAACCCAAAACAAGAAACTAAAAAATAAATCAAAAATCAATTTTCGCAAATGTTCAGCGACAACAAGAACAACGAGACGAGACGAGACGTCACAATCTTAACGTTCATCCAGCGTGAAGATCGAGATCTTAGTTCGAGTGTATCTGCATCTGTGTGTGGGTTTATCTAGCTTCGGCTCACAATGGAATACGAATAGAAGGTAAAAAATATGTAAAGACAAAACTTGAATATTTATATATATCTAGTTAAATCGAGGACAAGTTCTTAACATTTAAAAATATATATTTATATAAATATATGACTTGTATCTCTGTTGATGATGATCGATTTGCTGTTGTTATGGCAGCTGATTCATAACAGCTACAAACAGTGGGTGGCATATTTTGATCAAGGTTAAAGTTATTGCTCTACTTTATGCTGCCCGCAGATGGCACCATGACCTGAGATAAGCTTGAATATGCTTGTTTACTTGCCTGAATAACTCTTAGAAAAAGTTCTTATATTCATATGGAAGCAATATAACTGTTAATGTCATGTTTATCAAGGATAGTTGATAAGGTAAGTGGCAATTTCTAAACCAAAACCTGTAGCTAAACTGAAAGATATTTAATTGTCTGTCTGTTAGTGAAACATACAGATGTGGCCGAGGAGTTTGAGCTTCTTTTACTCGCCTCAAGACGTTGACTTCAGCATCACCTGATTTTATCAATGCTTATTTGCAAAGCTCCAGAATGAACAGATTTTGCGTAGCGGCCTGAGCTTACTCTTTGCTCTGCTATCACTCACTTAAATGCATCCACCATGCATTTACTTGATTGGGTTGGCACGAAGTGTATATGTATATACAGTAGCCTATCTGTTTTTACATATATTGATATTGACTTCGATTAGAGTAGAAATAATCATAGACAAATGAAATCCCAAGGGACGACCGCATGCATTTCAAATACTCCTTGATTGCCATAAGCCTGACAAAAGAACTTTATTTTTATTTTTAAATTATTTTATAGAATATTTTAAGCATATTTTCTAGATTCGTTCTGGTTTATCAGAATTCTATAGAAATAATACAAACTAAAAGTGCCCTTAGAGGGTATCTTCAGTTCAGCTTTCCATATAGATATGCCTCTTGCCGTTTTTATTATCATTTGTCATACAAGTAGTATTAGCCGCATTCCTCCATCCAACCCTACACATAATATACCCCACAACTGACCCACAAGGGTATCTACCCTTGGACCTACCACATAACCATAACTGTTCCCGTTTTTCTTTTCATTTGTCATAGAGCCGCAGCAAACTAGACCAACAAGTGAAAAACGACGTCATATGTGGCTGCCACAGCACACACACGCACACACACATACTAGCACAGTGACACGCCACCTATCGGCTGGCGGAAAGCGCAGTCAGACACGCCATCTAGACACGCTAGAAGTGGTCAGAGTACACACAGCGGGCACTCATACTTAGTCCATTTAGCTGGGGTTTTTTTGCTTACAGCAAGCAGCGACAGCAAGCCGAAACCCTTTAGCCCTATAAAATGTGCGCCCAACGCGCATGACCTCAACAATTTGGTTCACTTCAATTGCCAAACGCACACACAAATGGCCAAAAGGTCCTGTTGCGTGCTCCACTACGACAACGAGTGCTCATTGTAAGTGTGTAAGTAGTTGTTGTTGTTGCTGGTAGTTGCTTTACTATTGCCATTGCTAAATGACCAAAGCCTGACTGACCGTACTTTTGGGTCAGTTCGTCAGTTGCGTTGAGTTCGTGAGCAAAAGCGGGCGCGTTGTGTTCTTATTCATATTAGCAACTTTTGCCTTTACATATATCGCTTCACGCTTCAATATGAATTAAAAAGGGAAAAACTGTGCAGTTCTATATACTCATAGATATATATATATATAAAGTGTGGAGCCATGGGCTGCGCCAGCAGCACTCCAATGGTTGCCACAGCGGGCAGCGAAATGCTAAAAGCAGCCACACATGTGGCAGGCGATGTCAAAAAGCAAGGCGAAGCGGCTGTTGAAGGTGTGTGCGAGTGTGATAGTGTGCGAGTGTGTGTAGCTGACATTTAAAAGCGCATTTCTCAATATTTACCCAGTTGCACTCGAGTCTCTACGTATACTTAATGTCACACCCGCCGTATACTTAATATTTGCATAGTGTCCGACAACAAATCAATTCATTAGTCTAATAAAGTTAGCCAGTTGACCTTTGAACTCGCGCTTTCTATTGTGCTAGGCCAATAAGAGAAACGATCACATAAACAGTTGACATAATGAGCCATGCCCAAAATAATAATGCCAACTAATCAAGGGCAATTGAGCAGGCAGCGCTCCATGTCCTCCACACTCTGCAAGGACTAACTCGATACATATACGTATTTATTTGTATATATACACACACTCACGTATATTACACACATATTTATATGAATAGCATATGAAGAAAAACGAGTTTTTTGCGTGACCAGCAAATTGGAGCACTATTTTAAATAATAAAACGCGAAATTTGCATAGAGTATACGAGGCGCGTACGTGTTGCTGGGCATTTTGCTAGGGCAAATGGCACATTGATTGATTGAATCAATTTAACGTTGAGCACAAAATGAAAAAAAAAAACTGTTGAGCAACTGGAAAACATATCTAATTAGATGCCAAAACTAACTAATTATGGGTTTGCCCACAGAGGAAGCTAAGACTCTGGCAAGATTTATGAAAGTTGTATTAAAAATTCTTTCAGATTAGCTATTTGCTTAAAGTAATTTGTTGTAAACGATATTTTGTCATTATGTGTAACATGGAATGTGATAGAAATGCTTAATAATTATGGCAAATCCTTTAGCAATGAAGGGTAGGGAAAACTAAGTTCTTAGGGCTTTTTTTTGTTTTGCCTACAATATTCCTGTAGATGGGTCAATTCATAAGGCTCAGCTATATATGCTATAATGTATATATACAACGTTTTGTGAATATATAAATATATTGTATATATATAAAGACGCAGATAATTGAATGTAGATAATATATTATTTATAGATAAACCCTTTTGAAAGCAGAATTTTAATGATGTGAGTCCTCGTCGTAGTCTTCAGTGTTGTTGCTACTATATTCAATTCTAATGATAATAAAAATAAAAGCAATAATAATTAATAAACATAGTAAGATAAAATAATTAAATATAGATTATTGAACTATTATAACGAAAAGAAATATATCTTAAGCAAGGCAGTAAAATATTTTACTGTGTAAAATGATTCAGTTCCTATTCAATATTCAGTTCTGTATAGAATCATCGGTCTCTGCCCAATTCTCAGTCTTGTTAAAATCTCTTTACATGTGCAATATACAAGTATAAAACACAGACATAGAGTGAGAGCTCAGCAGTCATAAATAACAGCTCGAGCATCAGCTCGTATGCCTTATAGACACATTCATAGTCTCAATCAGAGTCAAAGTCTTCGTGTAAATGAAATCTAACATTCAACTTACATACAGGGTATGGCCTAGTCACATAAGTCATAGCACATATTATAAATATATTGATTATCGGCAGCTTAATTGACAGGCGCAGGTCAACGACCTGCTACCATGTACGCCAACTGCTCACTCAACAACGAACACAAAAATAGATTTTAACAATATGTCAATCATTTGTGCCTTTGCAGATGCCACACAGGCCATAAGCTCGACCATGGACTCGGCCAAGGAAACCGTTAGCACTGCAGTGGCGGGCATTACCAATGAGCTGGGCAGTGCGTTCAAGGAGGGCAGCGAAGCGCTGGACGAGGCCAAGCACAAGGTAATGGAGGGCTTGCATCTGGAGAGCAAGCCGAACGCTGAGCCAACGGAGACAAGCACATCGAGAGCGCCGACGCCTGCTCTGGAGCCAGACGGCGATAGTCTGAAGACCTCAACGCCGGAGCCCGAGATCGAACAGGCATTGGCCAATGCTGTTGCCAATGAGGAGGAGGCGCCGCCCACGCCCAAGCCATCGCTGCAGGAGCTGGCCGAGCTGAGCGCCCAAGTGAGCGAGGCGAGTGTCGTAACAGTGGTGGCAGCTACAGTGGTGGCAGAGACAACTGTGCCGCCGGACGCTGCAGAGACGAAGGCAACCGTGGAGTAAGTACGCATTGAGTGCACACCGTTGCCTACGTAGAGACCGTAGAGACCACTGCATCAAACGTAGAAACTGCAACAAATCGCGTAGTTTGTACCTTTAGCTTTTGTTTTTTCAAAGTAAACGTAGCTCAAACTTAATATACATATATATATATATATATATCATATATATAACATACTTATTTTATCTATATATATACTGCTCTCTTTTTCTCTCTCCTCAACAATATGTAAATTGTAAATAAATAACTTTTATCTCCATGTACATATCATATACTCTGCATTTCTTATTATTGCCAGCTAGCAATTAGCTAACTAACAAGAGCAACAGCAGCAAGTCTTGTGCGTAGCATTGGTAAACCATAAATATATATACTATATACTACACACTTAAATATATATACAACTTTGGCATGTCGAAGTTTTTGATAAACTCCTGCTTAGGGCATGGATTGAGATGGCAGCTGCAGCATCTGAAGTCGGTCTCTGTCTTTGTCTGAAAATTATGTTTTACTTTATTTAAGATATTACTAAAAAATTTAATATTAATATTTAATATGTAATATTTTATATATATAAAGTATTATTTACGTCTCATTTATTGTTTCTCAAAGTATTTTTCTCTTGAAACTATTCCTTAGTTGAGCTATTTCTTGAAACAAAATTCGCTTAAGAAACGTGTTTTAAATAGCTGAGCGTTAACTGAATCTAACTACAAAGCTAGTTAAATACATATATTATATATTATAATATAATATTTTCTTAACATATCTCTTATTGTTACCTGAAACTTAACTTAAGATTTTAGACGATTTTAACTGGATACGATTATCTTTCGTAATTTTCTAGCTTTCAAGCTTATGCTTGGAAGGAGAGGGCTTAAAACAAGTAAAGCCTATTACTATTCATATTTATATAACACAATACTAAGATTGAAAGGAAACCATAAACAGCTCAGCAAGAGTTTCATCAAACCCGAACTCACATACAGAAGTACTCACATTCTAAAGAACTAAACAAAAAAGATATGAATACTTATTAACACACATACTCACACACACACACACTTACTGACAACACTCACACACTCACACACACACTGCAAAAGTCGTTGGCAGCGTAAGGTAGAGTTCGAGCTGGAGGAACAACGTCGCCCCAACACCACCGAATGGGAAAAGCTGGCCGATCTGCTGGCCAAGGGTCATAGATTTCGGCCCTATGAGAGCTTTGCCCGCAATCAAAATCAATTTTCCGTCTACAAGGACTACACGAGCCTAAGGGACAAGCCCGGCCATTACGATGGACACTTTAGCGATGGCAATTCGCTGTCGAGCACCTCGCAGTCCCAGTCGGACCTCTCCAGCGGCCACTTGACACCTGCCCCGCCCACGCGTAAAGGTCAGCGCGATTACGCCAAGTTCGTGGGCTCTGAGCAGCCGGCGAGTGTTTCGCGTGCCAGTTCCAGGCTCTCGAATGCGGGCGCCACCAGCACGAGAAGCTTTGACTATAATCCACAGCGTGAACGAATCAGTCTTCCAATTGGCACGCGAGTCGCCAGTCGCTCCCTTTGGGCCAGAAATCAGCCCGACGTGCTGCCCGAAGAGCCGGGCAGCTACACTCCGGCAAGGCGCAGCAGCTTAGTCACAGGACTGCGCCCAATCGGAGATGTACAACAAATGCCAATGACTAGATCTACCTCAAATCTGCAAATGACGAGAAAGCAGAGGGAAGAGCAAAATGAGTCGAGGCCAAGCAGCCGAAGACACTCAGAAGTGGGCTCAGTGAGACCCAAAGAGAGCGCAGCCCCAACACAGCCAGCCTTAAGATCGAAGGGTATTCCACAGCCTGCTAAAGAGGCGAAGCAGCGTGTCAAACCGTCAACTGAGCCCAAGTCTCAGCTAGGTGCGACCTTCAAGTCCATGCTGGACTCATCGCGAGACATCAGCTCGGCACTGCTGTTGGCCACGCCCTTGACCGTTACCTCACTGCTGCACAGCCCTACAGCTGTCAGCAGCAACAAAATGCCAACGCCCACTGTGGCACGTGCCGCTACTTTTGTGGTGGAGCCAAGACAAACGCAAGCTGTCACGCATGCCACACATGCCACGCCCATACGACCGGCAACAGGGCAATTAGCAACAATGGCAACTGCTTCCTTTATCACAGATGCCATTGAATCAGAGGAGCGTGCACGCATCCTGCCCAAGTCGAGCATGCCCAGAAAAGGATTACCTCAACAAGCGAACTCCGTGCCACTCACGTCCCCTCAACGAACTCAGCCAAATGTTGTCTCAACTGTTACCAAATCTCCGTCCATGTCGCGTGCCTCGTCACGTCTCTCCTCCAACAGCAGCACGGAGGTAGTCGTACGACCTCTGAGTCATCTGAATACGCCCAGCGCTGTTTCCCTGTCGCCTGATGTCGTTGTCACGGAATACGATGACAGCGACCTGGAGGCAGCCTTGGCGAAGCTGGCCGAGAGGCGTCTCTCGACTACAGCCTCCTTGCCCTCTCAGCGCTCGGCTACACGTAATTCGAATACCTCAGCGGTGCGAGACTCGCGACGCACTTCACCCTGGCTGAGGCGAAATATGGACCACTATAACAGCCAGGAGCCGAAGCCTCTAACAAGTTGTGGCGCTTTGGGTCTGTGCTCGTCTGCTCAAGGCAGCCAGCACCTGCTCGAGCGTTGTGAAGTCTGTTGTAAGGAATTTGTGATGAATTAGTTTAGCGCGCTAATGCAAATAAAAAAAAAAAAATTATATACAAATGAAGGCAGATATATACAAATAGCGAACGATCCATGTGTCAGATTTTTGAAACTTTAAGAACTAGAAGCTTGCAGCTATAAATATATATATTCTTGTATAGCATGCAAGGAACAAGCTGACAATTTTTTCGTAAAATCTCTTCCAAATATTCGAAAATCATTAATGTATCAATAATAAACTTTTTATTTGGAAAGCATCATTTGATAGCTTCTTATTTTTATATACAAATTCAGACAAATTCATATAAAATTCCTTCAACATATGAAGCAAAAGATTTCTGTTTTCAATCTCAAAAAAAAATTTTTTTTTTAAATAATATAAAAAGGAAATTAATCAAAGTCGTTAACTTTAGGACAAGTATTTTCTAGTCAGGCACATCTGATTGAAGCTATTTTATTTCCTTACAATATTAAACACAAAAACATTTTCTATCTTCCAAAGTTTAAAGGCTATGCATTATAACTATATATATATATATAATTATAATTATATTACACTATAACAAAACTGTTTTTTATATGCATATTACATGCCTTATTATTAATTATATATTTCAATTTTATATTTTATTTATTTGTTAAGATTCCAACTAAAAATTTACTGCCTTAAAATGCTTCCAAAATATATAAAGAAGATTTTTTATTTTTATTTTTTTTATAAAATAAGCTTATCAACCAAGTACCTAAATAATATATTAATAAAATTAAGTAACCCAGCGATTTTATTAAGCCATAATCAAAACACATTTCAGAAATACAAATAAAATTTTTATAATAACAAAAACAAAAGAAAAACATTTAATTATTATTTTAATATTAAATAGTATATAAAATTAACAAAAAATATAATATTCAATTATTTTATTTTATTGAAAATTCTGTTAGCGAAACAAAAGACTTAAGGCAAAAACTGGGCTATTAATTGTCTAATTGTTAAGGAAGCTATTCACAGGTAACTCTGAAGCTGCAAGCGCATAACATTTTAATAGCATATTATTAACTGTATTATTAACCTCCTATTCACTTCGTTCACTCAAGTCACACAACAGTAAACAATCAAAACACAGCGCCATGGCTAAAAGTTCACTTATTGAATTATGAGCGCCTTACAGCCTCCATCGGTGTACTTAAATTTGTTAAACATTAGATCTGTTTTGTGTTGTCTAATTGATGACTTAATATAACAACAACAAAATTGAATTGTTTATCTTTGCCGTTCACTCAATTATTCTGCCACTTTGGCGCATGGGGGAGGGGAGGCTGTTAGGCCTTTATGTTCGTTTTATGTTTCATGTTTCACGTACCACATGCGCCACGTCTACCGTCCGTGACTTAATGAACTATTAACAGCAATGATAGTAATTTGTTGTAGCAGCCGCAGCAGCAACAAATGAAATTGCTTTCAGGCAACAGCAACAGCAGCAGCAACAGCAACAACAACTGCAACAAACAGCAACAACAAGTTGTCTTCATGGCACTTTTTGGCAAACAAATAGACAATTCAACAAAGCGACATGCAGACAAATGACTACAACAAAACGAATACAAGAAAGAGAAGAAAAAAAGCACAAACTAAACGAATACTCATACTCGTACTCAGAGATACTCATATACTCGAATAGTCAAGCATTTTGCGGGGGTGTCAGATCGTTAGACCCCGTCGCACCTGTAGCCTGTAGCAGCAGCAGCCGCAGCAGCAGCCGTCGCAATTGGCTTTGCAACTATTTTGGCACGATTTTCAAATTACGTACATTGACTCGCAAAATGTTTGGTTTATGCCGCAATTAATTTCCAGGCGGAAGAAGCAGCAGCAGCAGCAGCAGCAGCAGCGGCAGCGGCACAAGTGGCCCCCAGTTCAGTTGGAGGTGGAAAAGTTGAAGGTCTTCTGTTACTGTTGGAGTCTCTTGAAATGTTGTTTTTGTTTTTGTTGCTTTTGGCGTGACATTGAAAGTGAAAGAACAAGTTTTATACGTTGGCAGCGGGGCATTTCTATTTTTTAATGACGCTGACTTTTACATGGCAGCTGACTAGCTGCCTCGCTGCCTAGCTGCCTAGCTGCCTAGCTGACTGACTGTCTCAGTTGTAGCTGTGGCTGTGGCTGGTTCATTGAACGCATGCGTGGCAGCCACAAGTGGCAGCAGCGTCCACAAGTAACGCTAATGATCTATGAAGTGTAAGTGTTTTGTACTTTTACTTTCATTTATCATAAATGGAGGCGTCATTTGTGCTCGACACAGTTGAAATTAGCAATGCGCCCAAAAAATACATTTTAGCACTTCATTCAAAGCTGTTGCGGTTGCTGTTGCAGTTGCTGTTGCTCTTGCTGTTGTGGTAAAACTAGCTTTTAATCAAATTTACATGCACCAACAATGTTTTGCAGCCATACGCACTGTGGGCTGTGCCACAAAAGCAGCAACAACAGCAACAACAGCAGCAGCAACAAGTCTTTTACTTTAGTGTAAAATTGATTTATGCAATTGTTTGTTAGCCACCAGCTGATTTGTTTATATGTGCAACGACAGCAACACAGCAACCAGTAACAACAGCAGCAGCAGCAACAACAGCAACCAGGCAAATCAATAAGTTTATGCAACATGTGGCTGATTGTAGATTTTTGAAAAGATAAAATCAAAAAGACAGCCAGAAGACAATGGCTGTAACCGCATTCACAGGCTTCCGCTACAAGTTGTTACCATTTCAGCAGCAACAGCTAAGAGCTAACAGCAACAGGTAAAGCTAAGAAGTAACAGCACCAGGAGTTGTTAACAGCTAAGGAATCGTTAACAGATAGCTAACTTCAATATATATAGACAGATGGCACCAACAATAGCTAATAGCAAGAGCTAACAGCAGTAGCTGGTAGCAACAGCACGAACTAACATGAACAGCTAAAAGTAACTGCTAACAGCAGCTGCTAACAGCAACAGCTAACAGTAACACTTAACAGCAACACTTAACATCACCAGCTAACAGCACTGTTAGCTATAACATAGCAGCTGCACAATTCACTATTTATAATAACATTTTTAGACCAAAAAATATTTCAAAAAATTCGAATTCGACAAAAAATAAATAAGAAACGAAAGACAAGGCGCATGCGAATTTTCAATTAATATTGCAACTGCAACTGCAACTGGGATGTTGCAACAGCAGCTAGCAAAAACGCACTGCGTCTGTCTGACTTGGCAGACCTGGCCAAATAGCAATCATTTGTTAGCCAAAAATAAAATGAGTAAAAAAAGGTAAAATGCATTTCTACAATTGGCGGCTGCTTTCGTTCGTGGCCTTTTGGCTAACATTTTGCATAACTGCGGGTCAAGACGGAAATGGAAGACGTTCGCCAGCCATTAATAATTTTTATTATACGCTTTGGCTTAGGCTTTGGCTATGGCTGCGGCTGTGGCTGTTTGGCTTTGGCTCTTTGGCGACGTGGACATCTTCAATGCGTTTCGAGTGCCTTTTGTTTTTAATGGAAACGTGCCACACAAGCCACATGCAACGAGCTACATGCCACATGCCACATGCCACATGCCACATGCAACACATAAACTTTTAAACATCTGCTTTTTAAGCTGCGCCTTCTGCCTTTGGCAGCATTTTGGGAGTCTTTTATTTGATCAGTAGCCGCCGCATAATCCAAATTAAATTGTCAAAAGAAATGACAATTCAATATGCGAGACAACGGCAAATCTTGTTAAGCAAATGCTCAAGAAAATGGGAAAGAAACCGAAAGCACTTCGTCATCTTTTCTCACTCCTCGCGGTCTCTCAATCTCTCGCTGTGTTCAAAATGTCAAATTAAACTGTCACAGCGACTTTTAGACCATTTTCGTTCATCGTTTTCGGCTATTACATAAGCTACTTATCAGCTCTGATAACTGCGGGGAAAAACTCAAAAAAAAAATGACTATGTAAACATGTGAAATATTAATGGGCAACTCCATGAACGAGGGTTGTCTGAGAAATAAGACAAAATAATAATAAATAATTAAATAAGTTTATATCATTCTCTTCCTATCTCTTCTTATCTGCACATTTAATCACGGCAACTACTCTAACGACCCTCGCATATGCTGTATGCGTTGGTGTCTGTGTGTGTGCGTAGGTGTCTTGTGCGGTCAAGCGCATAAATCAGCGCGACAGTTAAGCAGACATTCGTCCATTCGGGCATTCGCTCATGCGTCAGCCAAACAAAAGACTTAGGCAACGAACGCGACACTGTTGCAACAAAATGCGTTTTATGGCCAAAGCATAACATGTGGCAACAGCTGCATCGCTGGAACCAAGCATATTCTTAACCATATGTCTGCCACTATAACTATGCGACTCTGAGACAGAGTCAGAGAAGGAGGTGGAGATGGAGAAGGAGAAGGAAACGGATGGAGACCCAGCCCCAAACCCTGTCTCAATCCCTGTTTCAAACTGAACTGCGCTAATTCGTGACTACTTTGTTGTACATTGTTGTTGTTGTTATTATTGTGCTGCCGTCAAGCAAAAGCCCTAAATTTAACAATAATAGCAAAAAAACAGAATATTGCATATGTTCAACGAAGTTTGCATGCGCTTTAGAGAATTGAAAGGGAAATTCATTTATTAAAAAAAATGTTAAAAATTCATAAAAAATAAGTAAAATATTACTAAAAAAAATTTATATTTTCTTTAATAAATTTATATTTAAAATTAATTCTAAATAAAATGATTTTCACAATTACGATTACGGTTAAAGTTAAAACTACTAAAAAAGGCATAGACTAAAGATGATACTAAGCGACAATTGAGTTAATAAAGACGACAGGGGAACAGGAACTGAACGAGATCGAAGGACAGTTTATTTTTTTTTAAATGCTTCAAGGATTGGATAAGAACTTGGCATATGTATATAATCTGCTGAGGATTTCCTTAGTCTCTCTTATTTTAAGCAAAGCTTTCTTCATTTTTGGTAATAAAAGTTTCCCCA